AAATCGATCTTGTAATCATTCGTCCCCTTGCGCTCTCTAGGCTTGAACCACTTCTTTCATTGAAGTTAAAGTCGGTATGCAATGCCGATCCTTCTCAATTGACACCATCTTTATCTTTGTCATAGTTACGGATCAGTGCTTTGGCCCATAACCTTGCGTCCCACTGTTCCAGTTGTGCTCGTCTTCCTACCGAGGAAATTGCTTTGCCCCTTCTCAACTCCTCACACAATTCCGGATAGACATAATCCCAACGCTATGACAAGAAGTCATCTCCTAGTTCTTTAAGTCTAAGCAACTCCGTCGGAGTCCAATCCGCCATCAAGATGAGTAGACGAATTCTCCCATCGGTGCCTTACGCACTATAGGTACTTTCATCATCCTACATCTTGACATCGAGTGCTTGCTTGTTTGCTCGTTCTCTCTGGTTCTGCAAGTTCTTGGCACACAATTATACCATCCGTCAAGACTCTCCCCTGCAACCGCCCAACGCTGTGACAACTGAGTGTGGTGAGTCTTGATACTTACTTAATTTCTTCTTCCCTCTAGATTTGAGTTTCTTAATGTCATGTGTATGAATTTCTCCTCTCATGTTTTGAAAGGATGTCGCATAATGGACCTTCATACTTGTGGTCCTAATTGAGTTCTATATAACTCGGCAATATGATCTATCCTCCCACATGCACACCACTAACAACTATCACAAACTCTCATTCCTCCTCAATTTGCCATTTAATTATTTACAAGAAGATTCAACAAATTTGGTATTAGACATATTATTAGGGTTGCCAAAGGAAGGAGATCGTGGGGTATACTTCCTCAAGAGAGACACATGAAAAACGGGATGTATTTTCATGTGTGTTGGCAACTCTAACTTGTAGGCAACTTCTCCAATCCGTTGGACAATTAAGAAAGGTCCAATAAACCGTGGACTGAACTTTCGGACCCCTATTAATGACAAATTGGTAGTAGACAACCACACCGACGCTTTTTGAAACTCCACATGTCGCCGATGAGCATCAGCATATTATTTTTGCCGATTTTGGGCAATGGCTAATTTGTGCTTTGCCTGGTGTACTCCTCGTTGGACTCGTGCCACAAACTCGCTTCACCGCTTCAACTTGGGTTGATGGTTCCTGCATGTGACCTACACTCACCAAGCTAGATGGTGTGATAGGGTGTTCTCCATACATCAAGAAGAAAGGGCTGACTTTTGTGGATGCATTGATTGAGTTATTATAAGCAAACTCAATCAAGGGTAAAAGTGCATCCCAACCGTCTTGCTCTTCCAAAGTGAAAGCTCTAAGCATGTCCTCAATAGTCATATTTGCTCTTTCAGTTTGCCCATCTGTTTGAGGATGATAAGATGTGGACATGGCTAGTTTTGTTTTGAATAGCCCAAATAGGGTTTTCCAAAACATGCTAGTAAATTGAGTGCCCCTATCGGTGATGAGCACTCTAGCTAAGCCATGTTGAGCAAAAACTGCATCCATATAAATTCGAGCAAGTTCTGGTGCAGTAACTATCTTTGTTGTGGGCCTAATATGGATCATCTTGCTCAATTTATCCACAAAAACGACTATCGAATCATGACCCGTAGACGTCATTGGTAACTCACATACAATGTCCATACTGACGTGGTCCCATCTTCTAGTCGGTGTTGGTAGAGGTTGTAGTAGACCTGTTGGTTTCTGATTGCTAGCCTTATTTTGTTGACAAGCCACACAACTTCGAACATAGCTGGTGATGTCCTCTCTTAGTTTTGGCCAAAAGTATACCCTTTGGACGCCTTCAATGGTCTTCTCCACTCCTACATGGCCCGCAATAGCTGAATCATGTGCCTCCTCTAACATCTTGTTGTCTGAAGGGCAACATCATCCGAGGGTATCCATATCTTTCCCTTTGTAGAACGCCAATCCCGTTCCAAATGTGCTCGACCTGCCAAGGGCTTGTGCAATCTCCTCATCCTCCTTGGTAGCTCGATTGGGTTCTCCCACCATTCAGAGTGAATCTTCACCTCCGTGATGTGATTAATGCATGGCATTCGTGTCAATGCATCGGCAAGCTTCTTCTTCCCCTCCACATACAGGATCTTCATGTTGAAACGTTGTCGCCATTCAGCCCAACGAATTTGCCGCTTGGAGAGGTCCTTTTGAGTTTCTAAATAAACCAAAGGCTTGTGGTCTGTCTCAACCACAAACTCCTTATCTCCGAGATAGTGTTTCCAATGTTTAGTAGCCAAGACAATGGCTAACTCCTCCCTCTCTGTGGTATGATAATTTTGCTCTGCCGGCAAAAGTTTCCGTGAAAAGAAAATAATTGGGTGCCATCCATCTTTCCACTCCTGTTGTAACACTCCTCCAACTGCCACACCTGATGCATCCGTAACAAGTTTTGTTGGTCTACCAGGTTCATACCATTTAAGGATTGGTGCATGTAAGAAATAAGATCTTTCAAAGCCCCGAAATGCAATCTCTCGAGCTGTACCCCATTGCCATTTCTGCCCTTGGCCTAAGAGACTTGTTAAAGCTTGAGCAATACGAGCAAAAGCTTCCACAAACCTTCTATAAAAGCCGGTTAAATCCAAGAAACTACGTAGTTGAGTCTGATTCTCTGGGGCAATCCAATTTTGAATGGCTTCCACTTTGTCACTCATGACTTGGATGCCATCAGCGCTAACTCTATGGCCTAAGTAATCTACTTCGTTTTTGCCAAACTCACATTTTGACATCTTAGCATAGAGCTTATTTTCTCTCAACACTTGGAATACTTCTCGTAGATGTTTTTGATGATCTTGTAAGGACTTGCTATATATCAAGATATCATCTAAAAACACAATCACTAAATTTTCTAGATATTTACGAAAAATATCATTCATCAGTCCCATGAATGTGGCAGGGGCATTGGTTAAACCAAATGGCATAACTAAATACTCAAAATGACCATATCTATTTCTAAAAGCTGTCTTTTGTATGTCTTCATCTGCTACTCTGATCTGATTGTATCCGCTTCTAAGATCAAGTTTGGTGAAATACTTAGCTCCATGAAGTTGATCAAACAAGTCATCCATTCACGGTAATGGATACTTGTTTTTCTATAGCTATCACAAAGAGAATGATAAGGATACTTAGCACTCCATCATGTATCTCCTCCCATCTATGGAACCATAATCCCATGACACCACAACTCATATGGGGAAATGCTAACGATGAACACCCTAAAATCTAAAAATACTCATAACTTTTTATTCATATCTTTATAATTTTCCAACTAGGTCTTAATAGAATCAATGCATTAAAATGAATAGATTTGAAAAAAAAAACTTGATATATATATTCAATTTGAGAAAAATCACTCAAAACCCAAAAAAAAAAATCATTGATATCTCTCTATATAATTCTCCATAGTGTTTAGTTTATGTACCAATAGAATCTTAATTGAAAGTCGAAAAGAAATCTCTATTCACTTTCCTTGTTTGGCAAAACATAACCACACAATATGTGAAGAAATTATCAAATCTTCCTACCTTGCTCTCTCCCTCTCCCCATTGTCTCTCTTCTCCTTCCACCTAACCACTCGGCCCAAAACAGACAACGCTATCCCGCATCGATGGAGTCTAAGGTAGTACATCCCACTGCACTTTCCTTTTCTAAAGCACTAACAAGTTTTTCTTCCATTTCCATATTAAATTTGTTAAGCAATTTAAGAGACTGAAATCATTTTGCTTCCGTTGCTGCTTGCATGTATGAAACTGGGAGACAAATTGGATTGCTTCCGCTTTGAAACGCTTCAGCTGCTCCTGGAATGTATGTACGCAGTCTACGGTATCAACCTTTCACCAGTTACAATGTTAGCCCTACGCGGAACAATTCCATTGTCAATTAAAAATTTCATCATAGCCACTGCCGCTCGTATTGAGTATTTGTATTCGGTCTTGCTAAATAGTATATAAACATATAATGTTATTATAGAATAACCTTCTTTTCAATTTTCTTGACACAATGATCAATCAAAGCATTTACATTGTTTCATCATGTTTGATCATTTTCAAAATCTCGAATTCACAAAATGTCACATGGTGTCTAATGAACACATTCTCACAAGGAAACCTAAATTTATCACAAAAAATATTTTTCATTCATAGGGATGATGAAGCCCACTTTACTTTGGTAATGATGTTACGAAATGCATTCCGAAGCTTCTTTACGCACTGCATGTCAGTAGCTTTGAAAAATGACTTGGCAGAAGTCTTTGAAGTACAGTAGGTGATGAGTTCTTGCACTTCTTATTGTCACATTGCGTTTAACTTAGCGACATCTATCGAGCAGGAAGAGACAACCTTAGGAATATAAAGAATTTCCTGTGATCCCGTTGCCAATGGGATTGGCTTGCATTGCGTTGTTGTTTAACTTTTATCAGAACTTTACTAACGAGCTCATGCTGGAAAGCCTACAGATATAAGTCTCGCCAGCTTCTCGAGAAATAAATAGTGTAGAGTATTATTTCAACTGACGACGCTTATGTAATTACATTGCCCAAATGGCTCTTTCCGAGGAATTTTTTTCGGCAATTTTGAACATTGCTTTGCTTGTCTGGTCCTGTTACTATGTCTACACCATTAGAAGAGGTCTTTCATTCCTTCTTGACTTCTTCTGTCTTCAGAGTGAAAACGTACGTTCACACAAAGATCTTCATGGAAGATAAATCAGCTGTGGAATATGTCCGTCCCTATCGGTATAAATCACAAAATAGTACTGTAGTCGGTGCCTAGAAGAACTTGGTTCGTTAGATAAGGAGGTAAAGTATTGTTGGTTAGTGGTAGTTTTTCCATAAAGAAAATAGTATTATGTGCATATATATTGAATTCATCCTAATATTTTATCACATTTCAATACGTATATATATTTCTTAAATATGCTTCAGTTTCTGTGTTGCTTTTTGCTTTCTAGATATTTAAAAAAAATTAGCCCTTGCTACACTCACAATTCTTTGTGAGTGTAGCAAGTGGCTGTAGTTTAGTGGTGAGAAGTCCACGTTGTGGCCGCGGAGCCTGGATTCGAGCCCCAGCAGCCACACTCTTAACCATGTTCATGGCTCAGCCTTTCTCAAATCGGAACAGTGTTCCAATGGGTTCGTCAATCACTTGAACATGTACACATACAATGTTAGCCTGTGGTCACCTGGGCGATAGTATCATGAGCCAAATGTGTTTTGTACCTTATGGTATATGAACATGGGATAACCGAGTAATATAGCAAAAAGGATGGAAGACCCCGTAAAGTTGTACATGATGAAACCAATGGGGTGAGCCCATGAGACCTTGTATGGTATGCTCTCATGCAAATGGTCTACATACTAATGGGGCATACGAAGAAACATCACTTAAACCTGATTGTTCTCATATGGATTGCATCCACATGTGTTCTCTATAGAGCAATGTATACACATTATCAAAAATATGATACACCATATGATAAAGAAAGTGATATCCCATGTTACCTAGTATGGTATACTTTCACCAAAACGGTCTACATACTATTTGAGTATATAAAGAAGTATCACATAATGTGATTGCTCTCTTATGGATTGCACCAAACAGTGCTCTCTATAGAGCAATGTATACTTGTTGTCGTGTTGTGACACAGTTACTATAGGAAGATGATGACATGTGTCATCTTCATAGTTGTTGATATGATGAAAATATTTTAGAATAGGATGACCAACGGCTCATTTTAAGGTTGTTAAGAGCCCATTGTTGCATTGACTTCCTAGAGTCATGTTATGGATAAGGCTCCAAGAGATATTATCTTGAAACTTATCAGATATAAAGCGTGGTCAAGGTGGCAAGGGAATAGTGAGGTTTAGAATATCGCTTTGCTGACTAAGGAGCTTATCCGATCAAAGTGGAACCGACGTGGAACATGGATAAATGACAACATGATACTCCAGATGTATCGATGCATAATCCATTTATCACAAATCTATTTGTGATCAATATCCGGTGTCTACATCATGATCACTTTCAAGCGTGGTTAGTTTCTCACTTTGGAGATAACTTCATGCAACAAGTGATAAACTCTCTAGATCCAATTATTTTACCAGTTGTTTCTTACGGCATGATTTGACACTTAACAGTATACATTTTGATTTGATATACGCGTTATGGATTTGAACTTGCCAGTAGTGGTGGCTTTCAACACATGGGTTTCAATCCATCACTATTGTTTACCAAAGGCAAGCCATAGGGAGTTGATTGCTAGGAATTTTGGTGAGAAATATTATTCTCAAGTTATAAACTCACCGGTCCCTTTTGTTGTTCCGTTCATAGTTAGCCGATTTTGAATTGTTATTTTGACTCTTTATTAATGTAACTCATATTATTTATATGATGAAAAAGTAGTGTGTTAATAATAGTTGTAAAGCTCTAATTTAGTATGTGGCCAATTTGGCCCCACTAGAGATCAAAATAACACTCTTTATTCTCATTGGTCTTGGAATTTGGTCAAGTTCTTTGGAGTTTTGGAAGCCTTCAAAGGGGAGATTTTGAGATTAGAGTCATAGTTAAAGAGCTGACAGGAAGAGCTACGATATGGGTTCAAAAATAAAGGCAATTGAGTAAATTGTCACTCTATTGTGATGATTTAAAGTTGAAGAATGAAATTCAGACCATATAGAAAATTTTGGTCGATTTTGAGTGTTTCGTGAGGGTTTTGACATATCAGGTTTAATAGAGATGTAGGTTACAACTTGGATTTATGTTTTGATTGAAATTTCAGCTGAATTCGATGAGTTTTGAGTGCAAATTGATACTTTGAAGTTTGTGTATACATTTTGAGTTGCAGTATTGCACTTTTGCTATCAGAAGGCTTGATAAAAATTTACAAAGTTGAAGCTTGGATGAATGACCTTCTTATGAAATTTAAGAGCAATTGGAGTGAAGTATTGAGATTTGTGATGATTTTAGTACACATGGGTCTGCATATTACCTTGTGATACAATGTTTAGTCCGACATTTGTGCCAAGAGATCTAGAAAAGAAAAGCATATGAAAATTTTCCAAAAGTTTGAGAAGATTGCAAAGCAATTATATGTGAAGTTTGGGTGAGAGTAAACGGTCTCATTGTTAAATACGATAATCTTCTTCCGCTTGAGTTTACCGTCTATAATGAATTCGAATGAACAGTGGTGATGAGGAGAATGAGAGAGCATCAACTCATCACGAGGGCCAGGAGAGTTCTTCTACAGCTAGGCACTCTCAGAGTAAAGCAATGTCCATGCGACAACGTTATCTAAAATAGACTACACAATATAATAAACAAAGTGATATCCCATGTCGCTGAGTATGGTATGTTTTCATGGGTAGTTAATCACACCCTCTGAAGATGTGTCACGTGTAGGATTTGTAATCACAACATTAAACAAGTCCTCCATCTAGATTTTAGAAATAATAATAAAGAGATCTCATCTCGGTTTGAAGGAGTTTAGTTGGTTGTACCAAAGGTTACCATATTATGGATCTTTTTGATATAACTTTTTAAGTTTGTTACTGTACAAGTTGATATGGCCGAGTTGGTCTTCGGCGCCAGGTTAAAGTCACAGTCCGGAAGAGCGTGGATTCGATCCCCACAGATCAGACCAGATTTCACGTAGTTTAGGCGAGATGGATGTGGAAGATCAAATCAAACATCCTCAGCATGTAGCTAGTCAAGTAAAACATTTCAAGTAGTGCATCAGCAAGCATGGAGGGATTCCTGCATAGTTCCTTTTGACCCGGGGCTGGGTGTGTTTTCTTCGGCCTTGGTTGACCCTTGAATTGTACTTTCCTTGATGGTTTGTCCATCGCATTTTCATCCCAGGCGTCCACGTTTTGTGATAGTAAACATAGTCAATTATTACATACTGATAATCTGCCACTCCAGTGTCCAGGAACTGACATTTTGTGTTCTGTTATACATGAAGAGGGCCAGGTATTGACTTCAAGCGATCTAATATCTGCATATAAGTTCAATCCCAATCAGCTTGTGCTTCGCTTCATTTCATTCTCCGATCAACAGTTTGTACAGAGTTACTATGCTGAACAAAATCGCTTGCAGATAATCATCCGTTTGTTTGGTATCTTTAGAATTCTAACCATATTTCAGCACTGAATATATAAAGTGAAATGCCCTCCATCTTTTTCCATCGCAAGAAATCGACTAGCAACTAACACATGACTAACTTACAAAAGAATCTCCCTTCTTGAAACTCCACCTCCATTTGGAATAACATTAAGAAACCATAGAAGGGATCATCTCCCTAAAAGTAATCTATAAGATGCTCATAAACCATCTTGACAAACTCCTTGAAGATAGATATAGGGTTGTGTAGAGGGAATGTGAAAAAAAATCTATCAAAATATACTGGCTTTTTTGGCTATTACTCCAATACCTCTAATGATACTCCCTCTTCCATGGGTGGATGCAAAAGGCGTTAAGAGGAAATAATCTCCTCAAAAGGACTAGTCATATACAAAGGATATAGGGCTTGTAAGGCTCAACTATACTTCCCCACCTGCCCCAAAATCCTAGCAATCTAGCAGAATCTTAAGTATCATATGGGTGAACATGAATCCTAATGTGTCCGGACAGTTTGACACATGGCCACCTCCATGTGTCAAACACGCCATAGTATAACATAGACACCATCTTGGAAATAAAAGAAACTAATATTATGCTAACTCATCCATGGCATCATGTGTCAACCCATCCAACGATAAGCAAAAAGCCTGTCTAGCTTGTCATGTAGCGCACAAAGAAACCTACGGAATAAACATGGACATGGAAATCTAGTTTCAAAAAGCATCAAAATATAATCTTATTAGGATGATAACCACTCTGTCGCGCACAGTTCATTTTTCTGCTTCAATAATGTTGAAACATAACGTAGATTTTATCTTGGTTGTCTCACTGCGCCTTATATCGGAAAGAAACAAATTCATAAAATAAATAAAACTAACACCCGAAAGACGTCAAGTTTTTAAAATTGTTGGAATCATTTTAAAATAATTTCTTATTGCTCAGTTTTGTGAAAATTGTGGTGATTTTTAGAATCACCACAATTTTCACTCAATTGCTCATCTCCTGTGGGATAATATGTATCATTAATGTATTATACGTACTACAGAAATTATAAATCGAGAATAATTTTTTATTGACCATCACTGCAACAGTTGGTTAGAGCGTGCGGCTATTTATCAGAAGGTCGGACATTCGACGCCCTCGACGTGCGGTTGGCAGATGACCGTGTGGCCGGAGCTACAGATTCTGGGTTCGGTCCTTAGCATGGTCGCCGACGAATTAGTAGAATGCATGAAAGTTCAGACTTCAATATAACATTCAACCAATCGTAGATGCTTTATGGTAAGTGGTAATAAATGATAAATTTCTGGCTTTGTATTGCACAACCACTATTACAGTGTTAATCCTCTAAGAAGTCCATTGTCTTAAAAAAAATAAAACCAAAAACAAAAACGGAATGGTTCATTGTCCGGAGAATTTATGAATACCATTTAAAAAATAACCCCTAAAAGCTCTTGCTTTACGTAATCCATAAATTTTGGGACTGCCACAAAAAATAGGGAAGTGTGATGAAACCCACTGGTAACGGTACAAGAAGGTCAAGAAGTCCACTCATGGCTTGTTAAGACATGGCCCAAACCAACTTGATTCACTCTCCATTGGGTTTAGAATGTCTTGGTAAACCATTGTATATGACATAAACTAAAATATAGAATAAACCATATACTATAAAATCTGCAACTTGGCTGTTTTATGGTGATTTCCTCAACCCTGATGAGAGACTAGGGGTGAGAAGGGAGAGAGTAGAGTAGGTTAGGAGTCCAGATCATTTCTTCATGTATTGTAGGGTTAAATTTTGCTAAACATGAAGAGTAAAAAAGCTATTCTATTTATTTTTGCTATTAGGTTCCATTAGGACCTAAATTGAACACTATGGAGAGTGGTTTAGAGAGATATTAGTGATTTTGTTAGTTCTAGGGTTTTGATCGAGTGATATTTTTGAGATTGGACATATGGGTCA